CCAAGCAGTCACTGCAGAGTCGGTAACGACTGAGCGCAGATTAAAAAAAAAAAAAAAATTCATTCTCAAGGAACGAGGCTATCCATTTAAAATGTAATCCCCAATTATTTCAGTATTTTAGCATTTCCTCCATGGTTCTGTTTACTGGACCATTGACTTCATAAGACAAATAACAATTTAAAAAATAGACTGACATAAGTTGCTATGAGAAGAACTTGAGGACACCAGCTCAGCTGAACTTCTGCTTTGGAGTCTCTCCGACTCTTACAAAAGGCCTTTGGAGTAATTACTGTAATATTATGAGCAGATTTGCTCTGATCTCAGAGATGAACTTCTTGGATCTGTTTCCTGGTGGCCTTTGGACCTTCAGCAACACATTTCAAGGTGCATCTATTCTAGAGCAAACACTTAGAAAGGAAAGAAGGCCCAGATCCTTGCTTGCTTGGTCCCCACTTGGCAGCACTTGACTATCTCCATGATGCTCGAAAGACTGATTCAGAACAGCTTGTTTTTGCTTCATCTGGAATATCAGTGGAAGGACTCAATGTGGTTATCAAACTCATGGTTTGTTCTCCTGTGGGCCAATTCCTAAGATCTTCTTTTTCCTTTACTTCCTTGATCTGGATTTCGGTGGATAGTACAAAATGAGTGGCCTTTTCCGTTACATGCTGGCTGGGAAATTCTGGAAGTTGAAGTCCAAACATCTTAAAGTTGCCAAGGTTGAGAAACACTGCTCTAAATTTGTAATGGTATATGGGAATGACCTTGGGAGACAGGGTGAAGAGATGCTGCCTAGGGAATAGTCAGATAAGAGAGGGCATAGCCCACAGCTGCATACCGGGTGGAGCAAGAGGCTCAGAAGGGACCCTCCCTAACTACTCAGGCTGTAAAAGAGATGGCAGGAGATTTGTACCTCCAGACTTGCAAGATTCTGTTAATGTAGCTTTACAATAAAGTAGAATTAGCTCATCTGGTTGTGTTCCCTGTCTGATCTACTTGGTAAGGCTGACAAAATTGTTGTTAGGTTTGTTTATTTATTTATTTATATGTCACATTTATATAGCAATCCTGTATTTATTAAATCTTACTAGATTTTCAGTATCTGTCTGAGATTGGCTGTAAATTGCCTTGGGGTTGTGGGTTTTCCTCCTGGGTGGGACACTGCATTTATATACAAACTGCTGGGGGCTTTTTATTGCTTTCCTAGAAGCTGAAAAAGCTGCATTTTTAAAAATTGCTATTAGTAGAAAGGACTGGGTCTTGTCGAAGAGATCCAGACCTTCCAGATTAACAAATTAATTGGCACTTGGATTTCAGGTTTTACAGGCATTTCTCTCAAAATGTGAACATAAATGTGCATATTTAAGGGTAAAATGTGTTCAGAAACGCATACTTTGAGAAATTTTAGTAGGTTAAGAGTGACACTAGGGGTATTAGATCTAGGTTACTAGACCATGCTGCCATCTAGTGGCTATGCAGAGCTTAACAGCCCAGGTCTGGTAGCTCTAATAATATAAATATTCAGTTTTAAAAGTTACTCTGGAAAGAAAGGAAAACTGACTTTGAATGAACACATGTAAAACAGACATAGGTCAGAAAGGGGTTTCCAATCCCTAAATGTTACCTACTCTGATGCTTCTGTAAAAAAGTAAGGTCTAATGTTTGAAGAGTGAGACCCTGAACTATGATTCCCAGCAGCCTTAGCTAACATGGCCACTGGTTTGGGATCCTGGGAGTTGTAGTTCATCAACATCTGTGGAGTCCTTGGGGTTCTCTGAGCTTGGTTGTTTTCTTGCAAATGTTTCATTACCCGGCTAGGTAACCTCTTCAGTGCTTCATCAACAATGTCATTAACATCTGCAAGGCCCCAAATTCTTCCCCTCTGAGAAGAAATGGAAGGATCACTTGTACACATTTTAAAAACAGGATAAGTGACTCTGCTGGGATAGATATACCCATTTTGTCCCATCCGGCTCTCTTCTGCTTCTTTTTCCTTACCGGAATATCCAGGGTTGCATAGACACTGGAAGCCATGTTCGTGAGACTGGCAGCTCTGGGAGCCGGGTGGGCGGCAAGGCTGGGAGAAGCAGGCGTCCACCACTCCCTGACACCTCTCCCCCACATACCCAGCGGGGCAGATGCACGAAAACCCTTCAGGCTGAGCCACACAGGTCCCGCCATAGTAGCAGGGGGTGCCGAGAAGCGAGCAGGCGTCCGAGTTGCAACGGGGACCTGGAAGAAGGGCAGAGAGAGCCGTCAGATTGCTCCGTCCTTCCTCCGTGGCTCGAATCAACCCCATTAGTTTTGGCAAAAGGTCCTTTTAATTAAAATTATGGTAATGACAATGCTGCCGGGAAAATTGCCAGCACTGACCTGAAGATATTTCTATCTACCGTGTATACTCACATATAAGTCCATCCGCGGATAAGCAGACCCTCAAATTTTTAACCAAAATACCATGAAAAATGTGCCACCCATGAATAAACTGACCCACATTTTTCATGGTATTTTGGTTAAAAATTCGAGGGTCTGCTTATCCGTGGATGGGCTTATCCACGAGTATATGCAGGAAATACGGGTACTTTTAAAAAGCATTACTGTAAATATTTGCAGATAAACATGTCTGCAGCCAAACCCAATTTATATGTATACATATATTTATGTATCTATCATCCATTTTCCTATTATCTGTCTACCATCCATCCATCCATCCATCCATCCATCCATCCATCCATCCATTTTCTATATCAATAGAAGAGAATATATGTAGTTCAGGGTTGAACTGTGGAGACAGAAGTCTGTCTGTCTGTCTGTCTATCATCCATCATCTGTCTATATTTATTCTCTCTCTCTCTCTCTCTCCCTCTATATATATATATTTATGTACCTAAGTATCTACCTATTATCTCTCTCAATCATCTACACGTTGATCTACAAATCAATTCAGCACCCTTTCTCCCCCCCCCCGCTCCCCAAAAAACCAGACATAAGTTGAGATTGCCACAGTGGCTGAGGAGATCCATTTGGAAACCCAAGCAGCTATAAGCGCTTCTGAATCAAATCTTAAACATTTGAAAATACAGAGTGATCAGGATGAATCAGCGCTGGCGGCTGAAGGTCCAAGGGAGCCCCCCTCGGCCTGTGGAAGCACTGAGGCCTCTGTCCGCAGCGGAACGTCATTCACACCTGCGTGCAGGCGTTCGTTCATCTTGTAAGGCTGCCCGGTTCAGAATGACTCTGGGTAGCGTACAATGTTGAAAATAGTATTATTACTATTCCAGATTTGGAAAGGCTGCTCCGTTGCTGTGGACAGCTTGATGTCATCCTTGGGGGCCAGAACTCAGGGCCCTCCTGGATCCCTTCACTCCATCAGCCAGTCTGTGGGGCAGGGGACATGGGGGGCAGAGAGCCTGGGTTGGGAGGAGCAACATGGGCCCCAACCTGGGAGGCTTGTGTGAATGGGCAGGAAGAGAAGATAACAGGCCCCTGTGGCTCTAATCACTCTAATAAAACTGATAGAAGAAATCACTCTCTGTATGTGAAAAAATACTTGTATCCATCAACTAGCGGTGGTGTATTCCCCTCTGGTGAGCTTCCTGCAGAGGCTGGCCCTTTTGTTTTGCGTGGGGCACACCCCATTTTCCTTGGGCTGACGTGGCAGCTGACTCCCGGCACCATATGCCCTTTTGGGGCACAGAATTTATTATCTCAGTTTATCTTAATTTGGGAGCTTCCACCTGGGGCTGGCTCTCCAAGCCTTCTGCCACTTTATTTGATTTTTGGAGAGAGTTGTTTGCTCCTGGCTGCGGGCATTCTGCACATGTTTACGCAAATCTCTCCCTCACCTTTTGTTCCTGGTGGACACAAGCATTGAAAACCATCTGCTGTCTTGGTACAGGTTCCTCCGTTTAGGCACTTTTCTGTTGGTGGGCACTGCAAGGGAGAGTTGTCAGCAGATTCGTCATTACTGTACTAGAAATGAAAAGGTCACCAAGAGGTGATCTTCTCCTTTTTTGGAATTAAGTGTTTATTTCAGCACTACAGTAGCTGTGTCTGCTCCAAAGAATGCCTTAAGAGGGTGCTGATTTCACTACAGGTAGTCCTTGCTATCCAAACACAATAGGGACTGGAATTTAGGTTGCTAAGTGATTTGGTCATTAAGCAAATCAGGGCTGATTTTACGACTTTTTTACAATTGTTAAGCGAATCACATGGTCGTTCAGTGAATCCAGCTTCCTCAATGGACTTTTTTGCCAGAATTCAGTTAACGACCATGTTTTGCTTAACGACCATCACGAAAAAGGTCGCAAATCGTGATTACATAACTGTGGGGGCCATAAAGCATTTTTCCCAAAGTTGTCATAACTCCAGACCATTGTTAAACAAATGGTCATTAAGCGAGGACTACCTTTACAAGCTATTACACCAGAGTAAGCCTTCTGCTCTAGTGATAATAATAAAATCAGACTTGGGGCTATTTAGGTGATCATGTCCAATTCAAGTATCACTTACAGATGGCTGGTCAGTTTCTGCATGAACACGTTCAGCAAAGGGGAGCCCACCGTTTCCCTCGGCACTCGGTTCCACTGTCGAACTGATCTTACGATTAGGACCTTTTTCCTAAAATTCAAGCAAAATCTAGCAACACAAACTACTAGAAAGATAATAAAGTCACAAATGAGGGCTGAAGTTGAGAAACTGGACGTGTTCCCTGCGTGGAGCAAAGCGAGTAACTTTGCCAGCTGGAGCCCCTGCATTTTCCACAGCAGCTTGATTTGCAGAGCAATGCCAAAGAAGATCACGGAGCGGATTTCCACGCTAGGAAGTTTTCTCTGCTCGTATCCGGCAGATGCCAACCCCTCTCCTTTCTAAGCTCACCTGGCAGCCGCCTTTTCCAGCCTGATCCGTGCAGTTGTCTCTGTTCTGATTTGCCCTCTGCTGGCACTGAGGGCCACCCCATCCTGGAGGGCAGAGGCAGTGGGGCGCAGACTCCTTCACTACGCATCGGCCGCCATTCTTGCAGGGGTCTGTGGCATTTGGTAGAAAGAAGCAGATGGGGAGATCAACGTAGCCAGGCATTTTGTTCAGGAAGAGTTTTGAGAGGCCAACTCCTCCTTCCATAGCATTCTGCAATGCTTGGAAGCGGAATTCCTAAAAAGCGGAATTTCAGTGTTTGAGCCTTTATCCAGGTGGCCGATGCAAGAATGGGAAAACTTTTACCTACTGTATTTCTTCTTATTATGATGCAGTTAAAGGTACAGGGAAGGGTGCAAAGAAAGTTGTACCCTGCCCAATTCTATATCATCCTTACTCTCCAGAGTAAATGCCTTACTCTCCAATGGAGAGCAAGGATGATGGCCTTAAAGAGTGTAAAACTACTAAATTTGGAACGTCTCATATAACTCGATCCTATTCTGCACAGTTTGAATCAGAACGTTTGAATTTCAGTCCCGCTAGTTCTATTAAATCGTCATAAACTGTAGATAGTTAGAATCAGAACTCAGGTTGAATTGGAGTCGGGTCTAGGCCAATAATGTTTTCATACCGGAGTCTTCCTTTGTGGTTATTTTATTTCTCATCTGTTCTAACTCAACCCTCTGTCGGAGTCTCCTATTAATGGACATGTATATTCCAACTATCTTAGATCACCGTTCTGCATACGACATATATAACCTCGGGGCTGTTGCCTGGGGTTCTTGTGGGTGCAAAAGATCAGTGACTTTGGAAGCAATAAAATGAATATTAGGATCTTCTCTAGTGGTTGGTGCTTTGAAGGTGAGTTTTCCATCACATAAACCAGTGTTTTCCAAAACTGGGCAACTTTTTAAGATGGGTGGACTGCAACTCCCAGAATTCCCCA